GTACGTTTTCCTTCTCGAGTCCTCCGAATAGGTTACCTGTGCCGCCTGTTTTCTTCACAAGGGGAATTCCTCAAGTGAAATGTGTACTCATTGCACCCTTGTAGTTGTCTTAATACAGTATTCCTCTGAGAGTACTTGGCACTCCTGCCAAGGTCCATAGACTTCTTGGTTCTTACTGGCACCTGTGGTAGTCATAGTCTCCATGTACCCGAGTGCATTACTCAGTAGTTATACACATGCAGAGTTAAAAAAAAGAGGGGGGGGGGTTCCTGCGCACCACTGCAGGGGAGCGCAGCTTCATAGTCAGCACACGTCCTGTACTGCCATGATGGGACGTGACACCACGGCAACTTACCAACAGGAAACAACAATCACAGCGCGAGCTTTGATACTTGTGACCTGTTTTTGAGTTTTCGCTGCCCGGCCTTTGGGGAGGCTTCGTTTATTTCTTTATATTCTGCCCTAACCACAGTGTATTATTTATTTGGTCATAATTCTTCTCATATCATATTGTAGTGAGTACGGGGGATAATGTAACATTATGCGGGAGTTATGACACTAATTTATTAAAAAATTATAGGAATGTAAATACAAAATATATTGATGAAAAGAACATTCACTGCAGCTCCTACATCAGCCGCCATCAGAGGTCTTCAGCACCCATTTCAGAGGTTGCTTCTCTGAAACATGTCTCACAAGGTACACCTTCCCCTCTAGTCTGTATATGGCCAAGGCTCGGCCTCTTCCTCCTCCTCCCCCTTCCCCCCAATTTTTCTCCATGGAGGCCAGACTCATTCTGTCTGTTCTCCATCTGACTAGCTCCACTTCCCCCATAATGAAAGAACAATAACTCTCTGCTTCCCTTCATTTCTTCCCTCTTACATTACTCTCAGGTGGATGGGTACAGAGAGACCAACATCACAGCTTCTCTGCGTGTCATTGAGTTCATTCTACACTTCCTTTCGTTTCTCCTACTACCTGGAGTCTACCTGGAGGACATTCCGGGGATCAACGCCCCCGTGTCCCGGCCCTTGACCAGGCCGTCTGGTGGATCAGGACCTGATCAACCAGGCTGTTACTGCTGGCCGCACGTAGTCCAACGTACGAACCACAGCCCTGCTGATCTAATACTGACTTTAGGTATCAGTCCAGCTCCCTATTGAAGACAACCAGGGATCTATTGGTAATTCCCCTTATGGCTGGTGGGAGGCTGTTGAACAGTCTTGGACCCCGGACACTAACTGTTTTAGTGTACTAATGGCGCCCCTACTTTTCACTGGGGGTATGTTGCATCGCCTGCCAAGTCTTTTGCTTTCGTAGGGAGCGATTTAAGTGTGCAGATTAGGGTTCAGTCCCTCCAGAATCTTTCAGATGTAGATTATGATATATATTTCTCGCCTGCGCCCCAGTGAGTACAAGTCAAGTGCTTCCAGGCGTTCCCAGTAGTTAAGGTGTTTGATGGAACTTATACGTGCAGTTAAGGTTCTCTGTACATTCTCCAGTAACTTGTATATTAATGTCTAGTTTATTGTCCAGAGATATGGTTTTGTATTTGTCACTTAAGTGTTGGGATGATTTTGCACAATTTTTTGGTATATTCTAGGTAATTTTTGATATTTATCTGTTTGATTAATTCTTCTGCCATTGCTGGATATGGTTTGTATACGAGGATAAATAAGAGAGTTTCTTCTCTAATTGCTGTGACTGGTTTTAACATATATGTACACTATATATTTTGGTTCTTTTTGGGAATTTGCTCTGCCAACTGACTCACGTTATAATCAACCTCTGGCCACCGCCTCTCCGCTGCCATCCTCATAACCTTGAATTTGCTGGGGGTAAATTCTAGTGGACGTAGTGTTGGGGTAGGGGTGCTGGTATTGGAGGCTGGTGGTGGTTGAGGAGGTGTTGGTGTGGTAGGGGTGCTGGTATTGGAGGGTGGTGGTGGTTGAGAAGGTGGTGGTGTGGTAGGGGTGGGGTATTGGAGGGTGGTGGTGGTTGAGGAGGTGGTGGTGTGGTAGGGGTGCTGGTATTGGAGGTGGTGGTGGTTGAGGAGGTGTTGGTGTGGTAGGGGTGCTGGTATTGGAGGGTGGTGGTGGTTGAGAAGGTGGTGGTGTGGTAGGGGTGCGGGTATTGGAGGGTGGTGGTGGTTGAGGAGGTGGTGGTGTGGTAGGGGTGCTGGTATTGGAGGCTGGTGGTGGTTGAGGAGGTGTTGGTGTGGTAGGGGTGCTGGTATTGGAGCGTGGTGGTGGTTGAGGAGGTGGTGGTATGGTAGGGGTGCTGGTATTGGAGGCTGGTGGTGGTTGGGGAGGTGGTGGTGTGGTAGGGGTGCTGGTATTGGAGGGTGGTGGTGGTTGGGGAGGTGGTGGTGTGGTAGGGGTGCTGGTATTGGAGGGTGGTGGTGGTTGAGGAGGTGGTGGTGTGGTAGGGGTGCTGGTATTGGAGCGTGGTGGTGGTTGAGGAGGTGGCGGTGTGGTAGGGGGGCTGGTATTGGGGGGGGGTGGTGGTTGGGGGGGGTGGTGGGGGTTTGGGGAGGTGGGGGTTGGTAGGGTGCTGGTTTTGGGGGGGGTGTGGTTGGGGAGTGGGGTTGGTAGGGTGCGGGTATGGGGTGGTGGTGGTTGGGAATGGGGTGGTGGGGAGGGGGGGTGGTTGGGGGAGGTGGGGGTGTGGTGGGGGTGGGGTTTGGAGGGTGGTGGGGGTTGGGGGGTGTGGTTTGGAGGGGGTGGTTTTTTGGGGAGGTGGGGGTATGGTAGGGTGCGGGATTGGAGGGGGGGGGGTTTTGGGGAGGTGGTGGTATGGTAGGGGTGCTGGTTTGGGGGGTGGGTGGTTGGGAGGTGGGGTAGGGTGGGGGTGCGGTATTGGAGGTGGGGTGGTTTGGGGAAAGGTGGGGGTTTGGGTGGGTGCTGGTATTGGGGGGTGGTGGGGTTTGGGGGAGGTGGTGGTTTGGTAGGGTCGGTATTGGGGTGGGGTGGGGGTTGGGGGAGGTGGGGTTGGTGGGGGTGCTGGTATTGGGGCTGGGGGTGGTTGGAGGGGGTTGGAATTGTAGGGGGTGGTTTGGGGGGTGGGGGTGGGGTAGGGGTGCGGGTATTGGGGTGGTGGGGGTTGGGGAGGTGGGGGTTGGTGGGTCTGGTATTGGGGGGGGTGGTGGTTGGGGAGGTGGGGGTATGGTGGGGTGCGGGTATTGGGGTGGGGGGGGTTTGGGGGAAGGTGTGGTGGGAGGGGTCTGGTAAGGGTGGTGGGGGTTGGGGGGTGGTGGAAGGTGGGGGTCTGTATTGGGGGGGTGGTGGTTGGGAGGTGGTGGTATGTGGGGGTCTGGTTTGGAGGGGGTGGTGGTTGGGAGTGGGGGTTGGTAGGGTGCGGGAATGGAAGGTGGTGGTGGTGGGGGTGGGGGTTTGGGTAGGGGTGCTGGTATTGGAGGTGTGGGGGTTTGGGGGGGGTGGGGGTATTGTAGGGGTGCTGGTTTTGGGGGGGGTGGGGGTGTTGGGGGGGGGTGGTAGGTAGGGGGGTGGATTGGAGGGGGTGGGGTTTGGGGGAGGGGTGGTATTTGGGGGTGCGGTTTTGGGGGTGGTGGTGGTTGGGGGGTGGGGGTATGAGGGGTGCGGGGTATTGGAGGTGGGGGTGGTTGGGGGGGTGGTGATGGGGGGGTTCTGGTTTTGGAGGTGGGGGTGGTTGGGAGGTGTTTTGGGTTGGGGTGCGGGATTGGAAGCTTGGTGGTTGGGTAGGTGGGGGTATGGTAGGGGGGTGGTATTGGAGGCTGGTGGGGGTTTGGGGAGGGGTGGTAGGTAGGGGGCTGGTATTGGAGGGGGGGGTTGTTGGGGAGGTGGTGTATTGTAGGGTGCGTATTTAAGGCTGGGTTGTTGGGGGGTGGGGGTATGGTAGGGTGGGGTTTTTAAACTGGGGGTGGTTGGGGAGTGGGGTATGGGGGGTGCTGTTTTTAGGTGTGGGGTTGGGGGGGGGTTTATGGTAGGGGTGCGGGTATTATAGGTGGGGGTTTTGGGGGAGGGGGTGGTAGGGTAGGGGTCGGGATTTTAGGCTGGGGTGGTTGGGAGGGGGGTGGTATGGTAGGGGTGCGGGTATTATAGGCTGGGGGGGTTTGGGGGGAGGGGGTGGTATGGTAGGGGTGCGGGTATTATGGGCTGTGGGGGTTGGGGGGGGAGGGGGATGGTAGGGGTGCGGGTATTATAGGTGGTGGTGGTTGGGGAGGTGGGGGTTTGGTAGGGTGGGGTATTATAGGGTGGGGGTTTTGGGGAGGGGGGTGGTATGGTAGCTGGTGGGGGGGGGGAGGGGGTGGTATGGTAGGGGTGCTGGTATTGGGGGTCTGTATTATAACACACTGCTCACCCCGCTGGTTATCACTAACTTTTTCCGACCTTGCCCCCCCCCCCCCCCCTTTCTCTCCAAGTTTTTACTTTTTTCCTACATTTTTTTCATTCTCCCCTTCATCTCCCTTTCCTTCCCCCCCCATTCCTCCCTTCATGAATACCTCCATTATTTCCTTGTCCGCCCTTACTACCTGGAGGTTTTTTCCGGGGACAACGCCCCCGGGGCCCGTTCCATGACCAGGCCTCCGATGGATCGGGGCCGACAGCTAGATGTTCGCTGGCGCACGCAGCCCCAAGTACGAGCCACACCCGGCGATCCGGCACTGATTAGGATCTGCCCAGCTCTCTTTTAAAGGGGCAGCCGGGGCTTATTGGCAATTCCCCTAATGCTTGATGGGGCTTTAAAAATTTTGGGCCCCCGGGAACTTATTTTTTTTTTCCCCCTTAGTGTCCAAGGGCGCCCCATTTTTAATTGGGGGCATTTTGCATCCCTCCCCAGTCTTTTATTTTCGAGGGATTTTTTTCGTGTGAAAATTTTGGGGACTTTCCCTTCCCAAGTTTTCCAAGTGTAGATTATGAATACTCTCCCTCCTGTTTTTCCCAACGGTACAAGTCAAGTTTTCCCAAAGCTTTCCCCAGTAGTTAAGGTGCGACAAACTTTCGTGCAGAAAAGGGGAT